TGAACCTCCATGTGCAGTTTTCGTGGCGCATTTCTTTGTGAACCTCCATGTGCAGATTTCGTGGCAGGCACAGACCTCCATGCGCAGACTTCGTGCCAGGCACAGCACTGTGTGAACCTCGAGGCGCAGATTTCGTAGCAGGCGCAGCACTTTGTGAACCTCCATGTGCACATTTCGTGCCAGGCACAGCACTTTGTGAAGCTGGAGGCGCAGATTTCGTGGCAGGCACAGCACTTTGTGAAGCTGGAGGCGCAGATGCGCAGAGTACGTGGCAGGCGCAGCACTTTGTGAACCTCCATGCGCAGATTTCGTGGCAGGCGCAGCGCTTTGTGAAGCTCGAGGTGTAGATTTCGTGGCAGGCGCAGCAGTTTGTGAACCTCCATGCGCAGATTTCGTGGCAGGCACAGCACTTTGTGAACCTCCATGCAGAATTCGTGGCAGGCACAGCACTTTGTGAACCGCCATGCGCAGATTTCATCGCAGGCGCACCACTTTGTGAACCTCCATGTGCAGATTTCGTGGCAGGCACAGCACTTTGTGAATCTCCATCCGCACACAGCATCTGTGGAGCTGCAAGCTGAGAGGCGACTTTGTGGTGCAACTTTAGTACGCGGACTCTCTGGCGAGCTGGAAGATGAGAGCTGGCGACTTTGTAGTGCAACTTTAGTACGCGGAGTATCTGGGGAGCTGGAAGATGAGAACTGGCGACTTTGTAGGACAACTTTAGTACGCGGAGTATCTGGGGAGCTGGAAGCCGAGAGCTGGCGACTTTGCAGTTGCACTTGAGTACGCGGACTATCTGGGGAGCTGGAAGATGAGAACTGGCGACCTTTGTAGTACAACTGTAGTACGCGGAGCCATCTGGAGAGCTGGAAGATGAGAACTGTCGACGTTGTAGTACAACTTTAGTACGCGGAGCCATCTGGGGAGCTGGAAGCTGAGAACTGGCGACTTTGTGGTATAACTTTAGTACGCGGAGTATCTGTGGAGCTGCAAGGTGTGTTGGTGCGGGTTGCATCCTTGGCAAGCCGCGCTGGCCGGATGTATGTGTGTTGGTGTGAACTGCATCCACATCGTGTTACGGACATTCAAGAACTGCCCATACACCACTCATCAATACACCACTCATCAATACACCACTCATCGTACACCACTGATCATACACCACTCATCATACACCACTGATCATACACCACTCATCATACACCACTCATCAATACACCACTCATCATACAGGACTCATCATACACCACTCATCATACACCACTCAACATACACCCTCGAGTCCTGTTCTTTTTCTGTCGCTTGAACTTCTTGAGCGACGCTCCTCTCGGAACATGTACATGAAAGGATGAGCAAGTATGGTTGCTGGCTGGTGTTGATGGTGATTTTGCGTCGATGCCTCTATATGATGAGTGGTAGCTCTGGAATTGACGTGGGGTCAACGACTATCAGTACCGGGAGCCCGCGAGGCGTATGCTGTTGCCACCTATAGTCGCGAGGAAGGCGGTCGTCGTTTAGGCGCGGCGCCATGCGATCAGTGCGGATGTTGGACGCACAGTTGGTGTGAAACATGTGCCATCCGACCAGCCGTCGCAATCTGCACAACGTGCGACACGGAAAAGCTGCTGCGCAAATCTTGCACTCGCTACCGCCAGCTGGTGTCCGGAACGGTCCGATGACGAGCGCGTGGAATTTTCCGGAGTAAATCTGGAGAGTGGCTTTCACAGACTGGATCCTCCAGTTCGTATCAAAGTTGAGGAGATGCCAGTCGGAACTGATGGAACCTACGACATCGACTCTCTTCTGCGTAATGTCGGACGTCACCCCGACGATGTTCCTGGAAATGTGTGAGAAGGTCCCAACGCGCGGTGCTGTGATCCGCGTCAGGTCGCCACTCTTCGTAGCTAGAGAACCGCACCAACATCGATCGGCATGCATCGCTGTGCACCTGCATGGAGAAGGAAGAAATGATTTTGACGTTGAAAACACCACCCACTTCGCGTGCCCGCAGCAGCCGCCATGCGGAGCGCATACGTCTCACTGAAGGACACGAGGGACGCGCATCGTGGAAAGAACCGGGACACTCCTATAGGTCAAATTCTTCTTATAGGAAACTTCCGCCGCCGGCTTGCCCGGGAACTACTTGTAAGTAATATATATATATATAAAATCGAAATAGAAACTAGACGACGAGTGGCCCGAAAGCATTTTTCATCACGTGTGAAGTTAGAGTGTGAGTTATGTGTTAAGTGTTCAGTGTGAAGTGTTAAGTCGAGTGTGTTGAGGCAGTGCGTGGGTCTGTGTGTGTGTGTGTATCTATGTCTGTGTGTGTGTATGTGTCTCTCTCTGTATGTCTTTCTGACGCGCAGGAACACCTTTTTTCTGCAAGTTCTTGACCTCTCGCAAGTCACCTCCGCGTACTCGAGTTGTACTACCAAGTCGCCAGTTCTCATCTTCCAGCTCCCCAGATA